AAGGATGCAGGTTTTTTTTTTTTTTTAGAGAAGCAGAGTGCCACATCATTCTCCTGAAGAAGCCACTGTGACACTGGGGCGCCTTTGATCACCGTGTATTTAAATAAATAAACCTTTCCAAAAATAACAGGAGCTCTGGTGGCATAATGGTTAAAGCATTTGGCTGCTAACCAGAAGACTGGTGGTTCAAATCCACCAGCTGCTAGATGGGAGAAAGATGAGGCAGTCTGCTTTTGTAAAGTTTTATAGCCTTGGAAACCCTATGAAACAGTTCTGCTCTGCCCTATTGGCTTGGGACTTGATGGCAGTGTGTTTGTTTTGTTTTCCTCCAAAAATGCAATGGAAGATTTGGTGTTCGGTTTACTATTTACTTGGTAATTGACCTTGTATCCAAAACATTTGGATTATTCATTTATCCTTGTCTGTTTAAAAAGGTGATTAAGCTGCTGTTGTGCATATAGCCATGAGAGCAAGTTGTGTTCCTTCTTGATAGGACACTTTGTTTTGTCTCAAACTTTTATTTATGGCCTTATAAAAGTTATCCAAAGAGCTCTGGTGGTATAGTGGGTAAGCCATTTGGCTGCTAACCAGAATGCCGGTGGTTCAAACCCACTAGCTGCTCTGCAGGAGGAAGGTGAGGTAATCCACTTCCATAAAGATTTACAGCCTTGGAAACCCGATAGGCGTCAATATGAGTTGGAATCATTTGATCACAGTGTTTTGTTTTTTTTTTTTTTTAAAGTAACTTATTTGTGATGTCACATGAAGTAGCTACAGAGAAAAACCTGTATTTAAACATTCTTCTTTTGTTTTTATTTTGCAAAAAAGTACAGTCAATTCACACGGGTCAAAAAAACTCCAAAAACATGCAAAATATTTTTGTATGTACCTACATTCCATTTTCAGAAATCTTAAAAAAAGAAAAAATCCCCAAACAAGAGTACCTGGTTTGAAAATTTAACATTATAAAAGCTAGATTCCTAACATGAACACTGCAGATACAAGTCACTCAGTTGCAAAAAGTTAATGTTTATAAATGATAAATAAATGTCAACAATGAGGAAATAAGAATTGTAGATCCAAAGCTACTCTCCTCGATGAACAATTAAAGTGTTTGGTGTTGCAAGACATTGATGATGTTAACTTGAAATAGATAACAACCTTCATCCCAACACTAAGCAAGACTATGACAACTAGTGAACCACACCCAAAATTACCTCTTTTTCTTGCTACCTTTAAAATGTTTTTTGTTTGTTTTATGTTTTGTTAAATAAGAGTCTCCCAGAATCTATACTATCTGTGAGATGTAAAAAAAGTTATTTCAGTCATGTTTATTGTGAAGTTCTCCTTTGAGATATTTCACTTTTCTTTTATGATCGTGTGTGTGTGTGTATGTGTGTGTGTAAACTTTTAAAGAAATTTTTAAAACTTAGCTCTAAGAATTTTTTTTTCTTTTCTTGAGACCAGTCCCTGATAATTTAATAGGTTTGTTGTTGTTGAGAATGCCTGTTTAGAGGCTTTCTGTACAGTCAACAACTTTCTTGTTTCTATATATTTGAACTTTCCAAAAATAACAGAATATGCCCAGGTACTTGTTTGCACTCCTGAAAAGTCTCCAGGTATTCCCAGAAGGTTTTTTCTGCCTGGTCCTTTTTATTCACTTTCTCACTGCACCAAAGTAGAGAAAGGCCCTGTAAGAACATGTTGGGTCCTTCTCTGCTCCCTGAGGGAGGATGGTGATTTCACCCTTGGAAACAAACCTGGGCCTTCTTCTAGGAACTCAGCTAGCTAAGAGGAAGACACAGTCTACTTCTGGCAACCCCATGGAAGCCTCAATCCTCAGAAGAAAAGTTCTAAATGCATTCCCAGACAACATTTTCAAATGTGCAAAGAGAAAATCCAAGACAGGAGTGAGGAGAGAATAGCAGTGTGTTGGACTAATGCCAAACTATTATGGTCAAGAGTGAGAAACATTCACTCAAACTGCCTGCTTCAACCCCATTTTCAATGAGCTTAATAAAGTGCTCCCTAAAAAGGAAAAGAATGATGCCATTTCCAGTCTCAGAAATTAAGCATCTCTTTTTATCACCAACAGGTTTAAAATGCTTACCTAACTCAGAACGTATGACTAATATTATAAAGATGTTTGAAGACCCAAGCCTACTTCAATACTTAAACACTTGCTAAATCAACTCAGCTCATCCATTTTCAAAATATTGGGAAAGATGGCAAATAAGTAAATAGCCATCCATTGTTTCCTTCCATCATTCAACACAACTGTACATAATAGGTATGCTGCATTCAAAGAAAGCCATGAGAAGGATGCAAAGCTAAGATGGGAGGGCTTCCTGTCAGCCCACCCATGCTTACCAAGACTGGTAGGAAGTGAGGCTTCTCTTTTTTCCCCAGAGTATGGGTCTGTTCTCAATGCCCTGTGCTATTCTGATTTACACAGTGTCTCTCCTTCTTCACAGGCTACCAAGTCTATTGGGGAGCAGAGGAGGGGGAGGTACTGTAGAAAACTTCCTAAGTAAGCATTCTCAGGGTGGGGATGAAATCCATGCAGAACTGGACACTCATGCTAACGAAAGTCTTAAAGTAAAAACAAAGGGCAAGCACAACCTGTAGTCTTTTTGAAGTCTTCTCTCAAACAGTGCAAAGCAAAGTGCTGAAAAACCAATTCCACTTTCCCACTACAATTCAAAAAGGAGCTAAGTCTACTACTACTAAACATTTTGATCAAAAAACTCAATAGAAGAAGCCTGACCAAAAGGTAGAAAAATGTAGAACAGGATTTCAAATTCTCACAGAATCCAGACTTTCTGGAGACACAAAGGCTGGATGAATTCCCAAAACTAAATTGCCCTAAAATAATCTCTTAAAACTTTAAACTAAATATATCCCTTGCAGTCTTCTTAAAACCAAACAATTGTTTAGCTTAACTAGTAAAGAATGCCTGCCTTCAGCATTGTGTTCTTTTAAGATCTATTTATATGGGTCCAAATTGACAAAAGCAACTTGGAAGATTAGATAGGAACCTTACAAGGCAGTAAGTTTATGTTAAAGGGGAGGAACAACTCAGAAAAGGAAGGTGAGAGTGGTTGTACAACTCAAAGAATGTAATCAATGTCACTGAATTGTATATGTTAAAAAAAAAAAAAAGAGCTAAGCCTTGTGGGGACATTGGATGTTTGAAACTGTAAGGGGGCTGCTGAAGAGCCTGTCCTTTTGCGGTTGGCTGCAATGTAAGCCAGAGTCTTTTATACCCCTTCCGATCATCCTGTGTTTCTCAGAAAACGGCAGTTCACCATCCTCAACCCTCAATTCTCTTTGGATATCCAGGCTCCCTATAGAATGTTGCAAGTCTGTCCACTTGAAAGCCTAAAGGCTGATGTGCAGAGGTAGCTCTAGGACGCTAGTAATGGAATAACACTTCCTTTTTTGGTGAGGAAAGCCCAATCAGTCTTAGCTAACAAGCTCTCAGCTCTGGTTCTAAAAATACCCAGCAGTGAGTATGGTTTGGCACTTCTCTTGTTTGCCAGAGGAGCTCTAAAGGACTCACAAATGCTTCAAATTCTCAGTACCTTGGGTTCGCCAATGGTATGAGTTCTGTTGCTACCCTGGTGACCTCGGGGAATTGTATCGCTTTCGGAAAGTTCGCTTTTTGTTCTTCACTTTTGAGTTCTTAGAATTCTGTCCTAAGCATTTAAAGTACAATTCTAGTCTTGGATTAATTACTAAGTTGGTTTAGAATCTTCATTTGGCATCTAGTCTGAACTATGTAAATACATGATCTGTGTACAGAAGAAATGACTAAAATTATACTTCAAAAGGTTCTCAGTCACTTCCTACTTTCCCTCTTTTCCCCCAAAAGAAACATCAGCCTCCAGGAATTCTTTGTTGCCAGTAGCAGGAACAGCTCCCAGGCCTTGTTGGCACCAGATGCCCCGGCCCTACAGGTTGATGGCATGTGCATGCTTCTTGCACAGGGGCTTGTCCTTCTTGGAGTAGAATGGCTGCCCCTCCAAGTTCACATGGCAGACCTGGGTAAGAACAGATTGATGTGAGATGGCCATGCAGCCCTTGACTGCTCAAAAGAGAATGTGGGAGGAGGGGTGAGAGGGGTTCAGTCACCCTGAAGAAATAACCACCTGCTTCTCCCCACTACAAGTTCTTAACAACTGGGGCAGAATAGATGGTTTTAACTATATAAAAATAAAGACATCTGAAGAGGAAGATGGAATAAAACTAAAATGAAAAGGAATTCAATGGAATGGGGCAAATATACACAATGAAGATGGCCAATTGATGCTATTCAAAATTTGTAAGGAATCAATATAAGTTCATAAGATGATACCCACAGAGATGATTAACACCTAAAGAAATACCACTGGTAAGCTAACAAACACATTAGGAAATATTATCCTTACTAATAATTAAAGAAAAAGAAATGAAAACCTCTGTGAGATACCACTTCTTTTTTCCAATTATTATCTAGTTAATTCTGACTCATGGTGGCCCCATGTGTGTCAGAGTAGAACTGTGCTCCATGATGCTTTTAATGGCTGATTTTTCAGAAGTTGATCTCCAGGCCTTTTTTCAGAGGCACCTCTGGGTGGATTCTTTGTTGTTGTTGTTGTTATGTGCCGTCGAGTCGGCCCCGACTCATAGCAACTCCTCCTTGGGTTTCCGAGGCATCTATTAATCTAGCAAAGTATTTATTTTATTATTTACTTATTTGCTCATTTATTATTTATTTTTAACCTTACATGATTTTAAGCTATCACAAAAAGTGAGGGGAAAAGTAATCAATCAAAAGCTAGTAATGCCAAAAGGGCATTAGGCTTCCTTGTACACTGCTGGGGATATCATGAATGTGCTCAGCCTTCTGTACAGGTTTGTGACAACACTTAACAGGAGTCATAAAGATGTGCCTAACCTGTAACCCAGTAATGTCACTCTGGAAAATTGTATCTGCAGAAATAATTCAACAGACCAGGAAAGCAACAATTCAAAACTAAAAACAACTCAGTGGCTAAGGGATTCAGCTGCTAACCAAATGGTTGGTGCTTCAAACCCACCAGCTGCTCTGTGGGAGAAAGATGAGGCAGTCTACTTCTATGAAGATTCACAGCCTTGGAAACCCTACGGGAGAGTTCTACTCTGTCCTATAGGGCTGCTATGAGTTGGAATTGACTCAATGGCAGTAGGTTTGGTTGGTTTTTCGTTTCTCTCAAAAGAGAGATGAAAAAGTAAATTTTTATAGTGTACTCTTCCATAGAATACAATGCCATCATGAAAAACATAAATCAAATGTGGAAAAGTGTATGCTGGTTGCACACTTGAAAATGGTTAAAATGGCAACTTTTATGTTATATTTATTTTACAACAATAAAGAAATGAGAGACAGAAAAAAAAGTATGTGTAGAGAAATACATGAATAAAAAGGGAGACAAAATTATATCCCAACTGTCTACGGCCTTCTCTACATAAAGAAAACAAAAATCCTCACAAATGGACCAATAAGAAACATCATGATAAATGGAAAAAATATTGAAGTTGTCAACAATTTCATTTTACTTGGATGAACAATAAGAACTCATGGAAGCAACAGTGAAGAAATCAAACAATGTATTGCATTGGGCAAATCTGCTGCAAAAGACTTCTTTAAAATCCTGAAAAGTAAAGATGCCACTTTTATGACTAAGGTGTGCATGAATCAAGCCATGGTATTTTCAATTGCCTGATATGCAGGTGAAAGTTGTACAATGAAAAAAGAAGGCCATAGAAGAATTAATGCATTTGAATTATGGTGTTGGTGAAGAATATTGGATATACAAAGGACTGACAGAAGAATGAAGAAATCTGTCTTGGAAGAAGCATAGCCAGAATGTTCCCTAGAAGCATGTTATCAGGAGGGCCCAATCCCTGAAGAAGGATATCATGCTTGGTCAAGTACAGGGTCAGCAAAAAAGCAGAAGACCTTCAAAGAGATGGATTGACACAGTGATTATTGTACCAATGGGCTCACGCATACCTATTGTTGTGAGGATGGTGCAAGAACAGGCAATGTTTCATTCTATTTCACATAAGGCTACTGTAAGTCAGAGCCAACTCGATGGCACCTAACAACAACTGTCTATGATGACAACATATGAGTTTTGCTTGATGATGGATACAGGTTACAGAATGAAGGGAACTGATAAATATTTACTGAGGCTGCTATGGCTCAGTATACTGGACACTCTATACACATGATCTCATGTAAGTCTCACAAAACGTTGTAGGATAGATATGACTTTTCCCTACTTTACAATTGAAAGAGTGAGGTTCAGAGAGCCCAAGGGTCTTGCTTAAGTCACAGACCAAGTATGTTATCTAGGAATCCATGCCAAATTCCATGCTAATTTTCCCCACACCCAACAGTACAGTGGAGGTATTTAATTATTAATTATTAACTTGAATATAAAATACATTTAATTGAAATTGTTCTGGGTTTAGGAATTTGTAGAGTCCTTGGGTGGAAAAGCCCTGGTGGTGCAGTGGTTAAAGTGCTCAACTGGGAACAGAAAGGTCAGTGGTTCAAACCCATCTGCCATGCTGTGGAGAAAGCTGTGGCAATCTGCTTCTGTGAAGTTTCACAGCCTTGGAAATCCTAAGAGACAGTTTTACTCTGTCTGATGGGGTATCTATGAGTTGGAATCAACTCAATGACATTGGGATTTGGATGGCACTAACAGTTAACACACTTGACTGTTAACTGAAAGGTGAGAGGTTTGAGTCCACCTGGAGGCACCTTGGAAGAAAGGCCTGGAGATCTACTCTAAAAAATGAGCCACTGGGAACTCTGTGGAGCACAGTTCTATTCTGACACCCATGGAGTCTCCATGAGTTGGAATTGACTCCATGGCAACTGATTGGTTAGGATTCGTACTTTGGGCTACCAATATGTAGGGTGTGTCTTGTGTGTGTGTGTGTGTGTGGGGGGGTAATATGCTAATCTGTCAGAAGCACTGGAAAGTCATATTGGTTAGGACAGCCCCAGGCTCAGAGAAGGCACTGAGGAGCCCTACTGTGGAGACAGATTTAGGGGCTGCATCCAGGACATGGGCATCAGAAGAAATGCAGGTGGAGTTCCCATATTCGGGTAGGCATGGGAATAGAGAAATCACTCATCTAAGCTGAGTTTGGTCAGTGAACATGTGTCCACTCCAAGAAAGTTGAGAAAGAAAGTGACATCATGGTGGCCCCATGTCTGAGGCCTTGATGCCCCAGTTGGGAGGTTATCTACAGGGGATCACACAGGGCTAACAATGGGCCCTGGAAGCCATTGACCTAAAAAATCCCTAAAACTTCCCAGCTAGGTACAATGATGCTGAGCATAACCATATTTGTAGTGGCCTCAAACTGCTCATGTTGGCACCAAATTCTGGAGACAAGTTCAAGATAGTGACACCCAAGAGCTAACTGGTAACAGTGGGGTTTAGGGGAGATAGAAAGGCAGCTCTGGAGCAAGCTGTCAAGGAGCTCCCTGTCTATATCCAAGGCTCTGGCAGGGAGATCCTGCCTGGTCTGGGGCAGTGCTGGTTGCCTGTGAGAACTTCAGCATGAGGCAGGCTGGAAAGAGCCTCAGGGGACTAAAGACTGAGGAGTGAGGAAAGTACAGAGCCTCAGAAGTGGCCCACTGTAAGACAGGGCAGAGGTCAGGGCCTGGAATAGGGAGGTCTTGCTCAGTGTCATGGGTCAGGAGATTACTGACAGGAGGCAAGGTGGCTTCATGGTAGAGAAGGCCTCCAATCACTCAGCACAAAGGCATGGGAGGGGTGATCCAATCCCTAAGCTCTGTGGTCAGATGGTATCAGGACTTGGCTGTGGAGAAGTGGTGGCCATGGACAGTGGTGACTACAGTCCCGGCAGAGTGAAAGGCAGTAAAGTACTCTCCTAAGACTGCCTAAAATTTATACATACCACTGAGGAAGGACTATAAACCAATTAGAGGAGAGAAGGGGCCCAGAAGACGTCTTTCCCCGACTGAGGGAGGACCCCAATTTTTTTCATTGGAACTCAAGTACCAAAGCCAGAAAGGAGTTTACTTCTCAATCTGACCTTCACTGTCCTTCTCAACTTCCCAGTCTTCATTGTATAAACATTAGACATTAAAGATACTGTCTTGTTCTGCTCTTTAATTGCTTATATATGCTAGCTTTGTTTTCCTAGTAAGTCTGTAAATTCCTTGAAAGTGGAGACTTGTTCTGACATACTCCTGTACTCTCCAAACTAAACTAATATTTTGTAAATTGAATTAGTCTCAAGTTTTCATTATCCATAGAACTCACCGATGGGAGCTACTTTTTTTTCTATTTAAAAATTTTATTGTAGAATAATAAATATATGCTCATTAAAAGTGATTTGAAAATCACTGCTGTTGTTAGAAGCTGTCAAGTTGGCTTCAACTCATAGCAATGCTATGTACAACAGAAAACAAAAACATTCCTCAAAGTCTTCCAAAGAAAAGATTGCTTTCCAAAGATTAAAACCACATTATACTTTGATATACCTTAACGGGGTAGTGAGTGCTGCACAGAGCAGTTTGCGAGAAGACCCAATGCTTCTTTTTGTTGGTTCTCCAATTCTCCAAAGCCTGGTTTCTTTGGATCTCTAATACTTGACTAGACTTAATTATCTGGAACTTAATGGTAGTATCAGTCTATACCATCTGAACACTTACTACTTCTTCTGGTCTTTCACTAGGATTTATGCTATAGTTCCTCTTAGCTAAATACAGCAGGCTTGAGGAAGTAGACCCATGCTAATCCTGGGTGTGGTACCCTCTCCATGGGATATATATCGCTTATCAGCCTGCCCTCAGAGTAGGCCTGTGCCACTGTATTCTCTGGACTTTTCCTACATTTCTCAACTTCTTTCTGGAAGTCAGGTAACCAGATTTGCAGGTAGAACCTTAGGGTCCCACAAGCCATAGCTTGAATGTAAGATTCAGAGGCCCTGTGTTGTGCCTCTCTGAGCCAAGACTCTGCAGGGGACAACCCCAGAGTGAGTGTACTTTACACAGTTGTCCCTTTTTGGAGGGGAGGCCTTGATGTATGTCAAGACCCTTAAATGCAACTATAGAATCTAAACTATAGAATCTAATCAGTGAATATGATGCACCCCACAGACACACCCTTACATGAAGTGTATAACCTGAAGTATATAGCAGAAAATTTTATGCCTTAGGATTGTCATAAGTCTATAGACAACTATTCAAGTTTAAACTGCCAGAGTATTTCATACATTCCCAGGATTTATAGTGAGCAACTCTGGTAATAATAATAACAGTAGTAGTAGTAGCAGTAGCACATTAATTTTCCAAATAAAGTTACTGATTCACATTATAGGGCTTGATCACGGATGACCATTTCTTATCTCTAATGTGGAATCTAAATGTTGCTAAGCTCACAACCATGTCCCCTCCCTAACTGAAATCCTTTGGAAAGAAAATATCACTCTTATGGTAAAAATGACTTGGCTGTTCAGCAGAATTAAATTGACAAGGTTAATCATTAATCTAAGGCTTATCTCCTGGCAGCTGGACAATTGAGGAGAATAAAATAATACCTGGTCCTGTTTCTAGAGGTTCTTTCAAGGGAAACTTTAACTTGGCTTTTCATAGGATCAGTCAATAGACTCCAATTTCATTTTCATGTTGAAGATTTGAGGGAAAAGTCTCAAATCACTTCATCATGTATAAAACCAACATATAGCTATGGGAAGACACCTATGTCTCTTTTAACTCCAAGTATCATTCATTGCTCCAATTTATTGAGATTATTGTTGGTGAGACAACTTCTGGTTTGCTGGAAACTTGAATAATCTATTGTCCTTAATGGACTGAGTAACAAAGTCTCATTAATTTATAAATAATTACTACCAATAAAATTTTGTTCTGTGATAGAAACAAGGCCTTGTGGTGTTTGCCAGCTTTTAAAGAGTATCAAAGTATATTAAAGAAAAGAAAGAAAGAAAAGCAGCTGCTGAGCCTGCTTATGTACAACCAAATACTTCATGGGATTTGGTTCCTTGGTTTGGAGGTTTAGGGTCATGGTTTCATGGAACATCCCAGGTAATTGGCTTAATGACATGTTTAGTGTTTCTGTTCTACCTCCTAATTTGTTAGGTGGTGTGTGGGGCCTTCAGAGCTTGAAAGTGGCCATCCAAGTCTCAATAACTGGTCTTTATTCATCTGGAGCAACAGAAGATGAAGAAAAGTCAGGAATAGAAGGAAGTTATGGAATGTGTGGCTAACTGCCTCCATGAACAACTGCCACCTTTGCCATGACACCAGAAGAACTGGATGGTACCCAGCTACTGTTACTAAACATTTTGATTAAAGACTATAGCAGATTCCTGATCAAAAGGGAGAAAATGCAGAACAGGATTTCAAATTTTCAATGGAATCCAGATTTTCTGGATTCATAGAGCCTAGATGAACCCCTTAAACTACTGCTCTAAAATAATCTTTAACTCTTAAACCAAAAAACATCTCCTAAAGTTGTCTTAAAACCAAACCACAGTTTAGTTTAACTAGTAAAGAATGTCTACCTTGAGCACTGTGCTTTTTTAAGTGCTATCTATATGGGATCAAATTGACAGCAGCAACTTGAAAGATTAGACAGGAACCTAAGGGGTCAGAGAGTTTATGTTAATGGGGGAGGAACAACTCAGAACAGGAGGGTAAGAATGGTTGCACAACTTAAAGAATATAATCACTGTTATTAAATTATACGTGGAGAAACTTGAATTGGTATATGTTTTTGCTGTATATACTCTAAAAACAACAGAAAAATTTTTTTAATTATTAAAAAAGTGTATCAGAGTATCAGAATGCCAGAGTTGAGAGGTATGTGGAAGTTTTATCACCTGGCCCTCACTTGGTCCCTGCTGCCCCCTTTTCAGGAAAGTAAAAATCCCAGGCTCAAACACATACTGCGCAAATGAAGCAAGTGTCATGCCAAGTATGTCCTAGGGCTTCGATAAACTTGTCACCAGCCTCCACGGGGAAATCACAGCCGTGACACTTGGTGCTGAACAAATTGATGTAGTCTGAAATAAAAGAAAGAGTGAGGACCAGCCACCCAGCAGGCAGAATAAAGTGTCCATGTCTCATCTATTCAATGCCAGGACAACCCCCCAAATCAGATTGGTTGGTTGTCATCTTGCAGACAAAACACTTGGTTGAATGACGAAATTTTTCTCTTCCCAGCAATTTGCACTGACATTGCTCAGACTAAGGCTTAGTCACCACCATGTGCTAGTCTGATTTACAAACACTCTCTGGAATTGTCATTAACTTTCTGGTTATTTTTCTCTGTTGCCTCTGCCACTTCTTACAGCCTAAACAGACTTTAAAAAAAAAAAAAAAAGATGCCTTTCCAAACAGCTACACTTCCTTTGGAAGAATAAGGGCCCTTAACATTTTTTGGAGTTACACAATGTTCCTTGCTTGGCCATTCTTCTGTCATTAGGTGTTGATACTGAATTTTCAGTACTATAAACACTATCTGAGCTGATTTATTGGGACATGCCATCTCCACTGCCACCAAAAAAGTAATAATACTAAATATTATTTGTATAATGCTTTACAGTTTGCCAATCATTTTCACATAGATGGCATTATTTACAAGTAGCTCAATGTCAAGGACTACATTTGTATATTTCCAGCATGATGCCTAGCACACACATACCCAACACATACGTATAGAGGGAATAAGTGAATGATTAGTCGATCAGTAAATCAATAAATGACATTCACTAAATTCTCTGATATGAACTATCATTTTTTGTTTTGTTTTTTGCCAGTTAAGGAAATGGCTGAGACTCAGGGGTCGGGTCTTGTCCTTCTTCCGACAAGAATTATCCTCTCTGGGTCATAGGGCAGCAGTTCTACTATACTTACTGCAGTCTCTTCCAGATTTCTTTAGAAAAGCTCGGTACCCTTTATGAGGCTTTCATTCTCCTGGAAAGGTACTTGTCTCTCCATAACTCTTAATTGGCTTTTTACATAGTGATTTCCTGTTTAGATCTCCTCATGGATAGTATGACTGTTAATGTCTAGACCATGTGCTGAGAAGCAGTGTGCCTGCCATGGTGGTTATAAATTTGGGCTATGTAGAAAGCAAGCATTGGGCTCCAATCCCAGTTCTACTGAGGGACTGTCCAAACCTCAAGCAAGTTGCCTAACTTCTCAGTGCCTCAATTTTCTCATCTATATAATGGGAATAAATATAGTACCTAACTCATGAGTTGTTGTTAGGATTAAAATAAGATAATGCATGTGATGTACTTAGCATGCTCAAAAACATTGGCTCTTATTTAGAATGTCATTATACATGATTAAAAGAAGGAAGGGGATTATCATCTGAGTACCTGCTATGTACCAATCCAATACTAGTGCTTTTTCTGTATTACCTTGTTTTTCTCCCAGAAGCTCCATTAAGAGGCATTATTCTCATTTTGAAAATGAGGAAACTGTCTAGAGAGGTCCCATCCCACCAGTAGAAAGGGGCAGAACCAGGGCAGAACTCCAAAGATCTTTCTTTCTTTCCAAGACTTTATACTCCCTTATCTATTTGCAATTGCACTTTAACAAGCTATACCTATCTCATACATATTTTCTCCTTTTGTATGAAATTATAGTTTGTCATGCAAATGCTCTTATATATTCCGGTCCATCAATCTTGTCTCTAACAGTATACTCAATGTCTTCAAACAGGCAAAAATGTATTGTCTTGTCAGTTAAGAAAACATTGTTCTACTTCCTTTTAAAGTTATTGTAGGTTTATGGTTCACTCTGTGCTCTTGTCAGTGTGTGGGGTGAGCAGCATGGCTATGGGCTAACTCTTCTCCATGTGAGGGCAAGCCCCACACCCCACTTCTGACTTAGCTTCCATCTTTCTCAGTTCTCCGGATACCCTGGACTCTCTTGTACAGCTCCACACCTCTGTATAAACCAGGTCCTGTGCTTGGAAAGGCTCCTTACTTTCCATAATTGAATCTTAGCAACCTGTTCGGCCAGGCCTTCTTTCCAGGAAGTCCTTACCTCCCAGCCCTCATCAAGAAAAATGGGATAGTCTTCCTGAAGGCTTTCTTTGAGTTTCTCTCCCTCCCCATTCATTCATCCATTCATTCATTCAACATCTCTTTAACTGTCCATTTATGTGCCAGTATATTACATGAGATTGGTTTTGCTTGAGGTTTTGGAGGCTTTTATCATGCTCTATCCTTAGCACCTTTCCGAGACTAGCACAGAATACGTGCTCAACACAAATCTGGTAGATAAATGATAAATGGACAAATTAAGAACGTGCTCACAACCTTATTAAATAGTGATTCCTGATTCCTTCTGCTATTAGTTTTCACAGATTAAGCTCTTATAAGGAGCTCTGGTGGCTCAGTGGGTAAGACATTTGACTGCTAACCAGAAGGTTGGTGGTTCAAACCCACCAGATGCTCCATGGGAGGAAGATGAGGCAAATTATTTCCATAAAGATTTATAGTCTTGGAAACCCTATGGGCGTCACTATGAGTCAGAATCAACTAGATGGCAGAGGGTTTTTTTAAGCTCTTATAATGGCTTGAAGTTATTTTTCAAATGTCCAGTCTTGCATTGATTGATTTTTCTGTTTTAAACTACTCTGTATGGATCTGGAGAAGTTCCACTTTGTTTTAAAATTTGGTAGCACAGGTCTGACCCCAGTACATTAAAAGAAAAAAGGCTGGTAGTATTTTTCATTCATTCTACAAAGAAAGAATGTAGTTGGCATTGAACTAAGTTTGTGCATGGGCCTTTCTCACCAGGAACATAATGTAGCTCTGCATTTATTTATGTCTTTATTTCTCCCATTAGGTTTTTACAATTTTCTTTGACTAACTCTCTTACACCCCAACTTGAATTAATACTTTTGTATTTAATGGATTTGACTGCAACTGTAAAAGGATTCTCATCCATCAAATCACAGATGCTGTGTTGAAAAGGGCTTTAGTGCTTTTCTGAAGTGGGGCTCATAAACATTAGAATCACCTGGAGGGCTTGTTAAAACACAGATTACTGGTCCCAATCCTCAGAGTATCTGATTCAGCAGATCTGAAATAGGGGCCTGATAATTTGCATTTCTAACAAGTTCCCAGGTGATGCTGATGCTGAGTCCTAGGTCCATACTTGGAGAAACAATGCAGAGTCCCAAATCTAATTAAATATCAGGATCACCTGAGTGGTGATTCTGCTTCTATAGGTCTGGGATAGGCCTGGGAATTTATCTTCTCTATATTTTTTAAAGCTCTCGGTGATTGTGGGAGGTTATTGTGATGCTCAGGTTAGGGAACTGCTTAAGTGCAGGCACATCCAAAAGGGGCGGGCTCTCCTATTTCCCTTACTTGTATGTTGGGTATCATACATGAAAGCACCAGCTCATCTTTGCAGCCCATTGAAGTCTTTTTGAGACTAGATCCTATTGTTTCTCTAAGGCTGACTCAGTCTGCACCTTCGACAAGCCTCCCTTCTGTTTCTTCTTTCAAGTTGGTGACAAGGTTAGAGTCAAGCACTGAGTCCTACGGTATGACACTGGGGACCTCCCTCTAGGTTTATTCTGATATGTTTGATCAATTCTTGGCATGATAGCCCAAAAGGTTTGACTTTACCTAACTATGGGTTCACCCAGTCCTCCTTTTTTACATCTTGTTCATAAGAATATCATTCTTCACTACATTCAGCAAACATATGAAATACCTAGTGCTCTTTCTAAAATAAAAATTGGATTTTGTTATTTCCTTGCTTATTTCAATGACTCCCATTGCTTAAGGAAATGGTTTTAAACTGAATGGACAGCCATTTTAGGGACCACTCATATTTACTGCCCACTTGTTAAGACAACCCTATAGAGCAGTTCTATTCTGTAACACATGAGGTCACCATAAGTTGGGGGCTGACTCAATGGCGGCTAACAACAGCAAATACCATGGGCAGATGCTTTCCCTAAGACTTTTGCACATATCACCTCAGTCAAGCCCCACAACAGCCCTCTGAAGGAAGTTACATAGGAAACAGAGATTCAGAAAGGCTAAGTAACTTGTCCATAATCACACGGCCTGGAAGTATGGCCCATACAGGACTCAGGTCTGGGTCTCTCAAGGACAACCAGGTCTGAGGTTAAATCTTTTCTGAATGCTAGGCCATCTTCCAAGCAGTATCTGTGCTTTTCCCAAGCTGTCTTACTCAACATCAATTTTGAAAATCTTTTTTTGAGGGGTTGCTATGGAGAAGAGCAGTGGTGATAATAAAAGCTATCATTTTGCAAGTCTCAGACACAAACTGTGACTTACTACAAATTATGGAAGTTACAATTGGCCTAACAGCACTTAAGGAGTTCATGGGTAGAGCAAATGGTTAAATACTTGACTAACTGAAAGAAGGCGCTCCCTTAGCACAGTGCCTAAGGCATCTCATTGTTAGCCAGAAGGTTGGCAGTTCAAACCCACCGGCCACATGGCGGAAGGAAGACTGGGTAATCTACTTCTAGATTTACTGCCTCGGGAACCCAATGGAGGTCACTATGAGTCAGAATTGACTCGATGGCAATGGGTTTGGTTTGCTTTTGGTACTAACTGAAAGGTTGATGATTCAAACCTACCCAGAGGTGCCATGGAAGATACCTGGTGATCTGCTTCTAAAAGGTTACAGCCTTGGAAAACCCTATAGAACAGTTCTACTCTGCACACAGTGGGTCGCCATGAGTTGACAACTAACAACAACAAACAGCACTTACGTTTATTCATATGCTCATACAAAGTTGTTGTTGTTGTTATGTGCCGTCGAGTCGGCCCCGACTCATAGCGACCCCTCCTTGGGTTTCCGAGGCAGTATCACTACGGAAGTAGGATTGCCCAACCTTCCTTCCGAGGAGTGGCTGGTGGGTTTGAACCGCCAGCCGTCTGGTTAGCAGGCAAGTGTCTTAGCCACTATGCTACCAGAGCTCCCTCATACAAAGTAGACAGATGTTATTTTCTCCTTCTTACAGATATGGAAATTGAGGCACAGAGTGACTAATTGAACTGGAAATACAATTTACCACTATATAAGACCCCAATAACTTTCTTTAATAATTTATTGTATCTAGGCAGTCCCTAGATTACAACCAAGTTCTGTTTCTAAGTCTGTCTTTAAGTTAAATTTGTATGTAAGTTGGAATGGTTAGGTACAGTTCATATCTAAGGTCAGTTAGTCAGATATTTGTCTTATTATCTAGTATATAGTGTATATTTACATAAATAAAAGCATCAAAGAAACACTTCCAGATACACTAAGATATTTTTAACATAATGATACACTAATCTACTGTCATCGAGTTGATTTTAACTCATAGAGACCCCCGTTGGGTTTCCAAGACTAAATCTTTATGGAAGTAGATTACTTCATCTTCCTCCTGCAGAGCAGCTGGTGAGTTTGAACCACTGACCTTTTGGTTAACAGCCAAATGCCTTATCCACTATGCCACCTATGCTCCTAATAACACACTAATAATACTCCTAACAATGATAATTTTTGATGCAGATTGCAAAGTCGTGCCCATTATTACAAACCATTGTACGTGCCTTGAATTTTAAATATAGTAGGCTTTATACTGGGAGCTCTGGTAGCATAGTGCCTAAAGCACTTGACTGCTAACCAGAAGGCTGGCAGTTCAAACCCACCAGCCACTCCTCGGAAGGCAGGTTGGGCAATCTACTTCTGTAGTGATATGGCCTCGGAAACCCAAGGAGGAATTGCTATGTGTCGGGGCCGACTCGACCACACACAACAACAACAACAGGCTTTATACCAATTGGTTCATAACTATGGGTTGCATGTTAAGTCAGCAACCTGGGACTGCCTGTTTTTATAATTTGTTGTTTTTGTTTAACTTTTGTTTAGTTCTTTCTGTTGAGGAACTAGAATGCTTTCTCCTTTTTGATTTTAAAGTAAACAAACTTACTAAGTTTCTTTATTCCCCCGTGGCTGCCCGGAAGTTTGGAGTCAAATTTGCTACCCAGTTGCTGCAAGTCAGTTATTCTTCATAATCAGCATGTTTGACTTTCCTTCTTCTACTTGGTGCTGCTTCTCTAGTTCTATTGTCTTAACCTTGGTGTGTCTATTGCCTTTGCTGGAACCTGCCTCAGATCCTTTTCAAAAGAGATAGGTTATGGATAAATGAGTGAGTGAGGGAATGGCTGAGAGTCCCAACTCTCCAACAGAGAGCTTTGTCTCCTGAATTTAGGATAACTTACTCCAAACTTTAAGATAACATATAGCATTTTAGAGAATAATTTTGCACTCAGATAGTGAGATTACAGGAATCTGAAGGAACATAACAGCCTGATAAACATCATCAAAGAAGAGAGGGAAGGCTAATATGCTCACTTTTCTTTACACAGCTTCTCTGGTCTAATTCTCACCACAACTTTCTAAGGCAGGTATTATTTTTCTCTCTTTAAAGATGAGGAAAGTGATGTCAGAGCTTCAGTAACTCACTCAGGGTTACAAGGCCAGCCAGAGGTAGAGCCAGAATAGAACCCAAGGCAAAGTGCAATGCTGAGGCTTTTGCACACTAGACCTTGTGGTCTCTAAACCAAAATTATCTGTAAAGCTTCCAAATTGCTTTAAGATGCCAACCTCTGAGCCACATATTTGGTGCATGGAAGGGAACAGAGCTTGAGTGTCTAAAAATAAGTTACAGACTTTGCTTCATGAAAGCTGAAGGCAAATGGGCAGGGGGAATTGTCAAAATAACTTCCTTTGTGTGATATTAACATGATTCTGCTACTAAAAAAACACAAAATTTCCATTTCTCAGAAATGGAGCCTCCTGATATTCAAATGTGAATGGAGAAAGGCTGGAGTCCCCATTCCCATATCCCAGACCCCCAGAATGCTGGCCCCTCCATTGAAGCAGCCCTACCTTTTTCACAGTAGGGCTCCCCATCTTCCATGTGGAACAGGCTGTTCCCAAAAGGCTTCTTGCAGGCTGCACACACGAAGCAGGTGGTGTGCCAAGTCTGTCTCAGGGCATGCATCACTTCCTGTGGGGAAAGAGCCTCAGCTCAGGAAAAAAAGGTCCTGGGAGAGAGGGAGTTGGGCTTGATGCTCTACCCAGGCCTCTGCCACTACTAGAACATCCCATCAGGGAAGAGGCCAAGAAAACCAGGAAGAAGGCCTTGGACACATGGAGCAGATGCCTGGGGCAGGTCAGGAGGGGATTCCCATTTATCCAATGATGTCATGTGCCAAGTTCTATGTGGTGCTTATATACACTGTGATGCTTAATCCTGGATTAAACCTGGAGGAAAGTGCTGCTTATTACTGCCATTTTACCAAAAAGGGAATCTGAGTGTCAAGACCACATACAGGTAAATGGCGAGGTCAGGCTGTGAAGTGGAAACTGGCTTTGGTGAAGATCCATCACCACTTCAAGCTGTAAAACCATGCACATATAATCACCTAAGTTCAATTGCTGCCTAGTTCATTTGTGGCAAACCAACTCCATTCTTTGATAGAAATGGAATTGCTTTCTCTTCATTAGCAGTGGGGGGAGATGATAAAGATTGGGGAAAAGAGGAGGGAGGGTCTGAAGAGAAGGATGCTGTCCACTCACCCCCATAATTTTGGTGTTGCACTTGGCACACAGCGGGGCAAAGAACTGCTCATAACACCGCTCACAGTAGACGTTGTGCTGCTCCTCCACAAAGCACACATCTGCCAGGGAGGTCTTGCAGTAGGCACAGTTGAACTCTTCTGGATGCCAGGAGCGACCCATGGCTACCAGAAAGGGGCCCCTAAGGAAGCAGAAAACAGTACCTACTAAGGCATCCCCAAAAGCTTGGGACCAGATGTCTCAAGAACCTCAACAGAGTTCATACTTTGACTCAGTAATTCTGACTTTTGTGAATATTCTAATGAAATGTGAAATTCAGACAAAGCTCCATATAGAAAGATGTTCACTGTTCACTCAACAATAAAGGAAACTGGAAGCAACTCAAACATCCAGCAGTAGGGGACTGGTTAAGTATATTATGGAATATCCATTCAGTTTATAACTGGTATTTATACTGTGGGTAATCTAGTTCCATATTAGTCATAGTCAGTACAGTGGGAATATAAGGAAATTTCTAATATCCTAATTTCTAAATTTTCTAGTATTCTATAATGAATATATTTTACTTTATTTTTAAATAAAAATGTATCTTTCACATATATAAATACATCATACGCACACATAAACATATTGTATTCAAACAAGAACCACTCATTACCCTGCATTCTAAGGATGAAATGACTTGTTTTCATCTTAGTGTGGCAGCTGCCCACCAAAAACCTGAGCAGGACTGGCCTGTTTGTGGAAAGACCCAAACAACCCTAAAGGAAACTGGTCAAAACCTCCACTGTCAGCCTGCTTGCAACATGCCCAAAAAAACCTTCTGAAAAGACTGGTGATTCCCAGAATCTGGCCTTAGCCCAAGGAAGAGCTCCTGGCACCAGGCACTGTTCTGGGAGCCTCATCCATTTACTGCATGGAATCCTTCCAGCTCTCTGGAGAGTTTGGTGTTATACAGATGTAGACGTTAAAGCTCAGAGAGGGTCAGACCAGATGGTGAGTTAAAGGACTGGAGGCTGCCCTGCATGGGGCTTTCTCCTTACACCTACCCCTACACACACACACACACACACACACACACACACATGCTGCAAGGCCCAGAGACTGTGAGCAAGGACCCCGACCCCATCCTTCCAGAGCCCCAGCACAGGGGTACAGCTGGACCATACCGGATGACACTGTTGCAGTGGCCGCAGAGTGGAGTCCGGCTGCTGGCTGGAAAGCGCTCGGCCCTCTGCACGGTGCCCCTGGCAAGGGGGGGCACCTGGGGACTTGTTGTAGTATAGGCTGGGGCCCCCCGGGGCAGAGGCTGCTTGCTGAGTGTTGTGGTAATCATCCCAGGGGCAAATTTCTGGGAGAAGCTGTCATCTGTCACCCAGGGAGGGCGGCTGGTAGGCTCCAAGTGGCCCCCACTGTAGGTGGCTGCGGGTGCAGGGTTATAGCTTGGGGCAGGTGAGGGGGTGTAGGCTGGTGCTGGTAAGGGGGTGTAGGTGGGGGCAGATGATGGGGTGTAGGCAGGAGCAGGTGAGGGGGTGTAGGGAGCTGGACTGTAATTTGCCCCTGGGGATGGGCTATAGGTAGATGCAGGCACTGCAATCCAAAAATAACCAAAGAAAAATGTGTCAGTTATTCATTCCCTCTGAACTTCTCCTGTTCCAAGCCACAAAACTGCAAAAGGTGACTTTAATATTAAAGCAGCATAATCCCAATTTTTATGGCAGACACATTCCTGAATTTTTGGTGCCCTAGATTTTAATTCACAGCAGGAAGCCAAAGCAATCTGAGCAGAGCCCTCAGGAGCTAGGTTGGGGCTGGGATAGGGCTATGGCTATAAATGTCTGCAGCTGTGCTGGGCAGGGTTCAGCTAGGCCTTGAGAGTGGGGGTGCTGGGCATGGCTCACACCTAGGTTCCTGGGGCAGGAATTGAGTGGGACAGAATCACCATGGCCTTCAGCTGCAGTCTAACCAGTGATCTGACATCTGACATGCCTCAGTGGGCATGTGCTGCTGAACTTGGACCTAGTCCAGCCTGGGACAAAGCAGATGACCAGCAGATAGGTTTTCAGATTCAGGTTTCAGATTTAGCTACAGTCATTTCACAGAAAATAGCTTGCCTTGATTTGTACGGGGGAGAAATTCTATTATGGTTTGATTGGGGGTGGGGTGTCTTGAAAGAGTGACCCATGAACCCCACATCACTTTAGTGGAAACTGAGAGTGTGTCCCTGTGCCAGCTTAGAGGTTGCCAAGGAAGTCATGAGTGTAGAAGAGAATGCGGCTACCCCAAACCCTGGGTTTCTGAATGCCCTGCTGCCTCCCACTGTGTAGGCTGCTGGGGCAGACTCATCTTCATCCTGTACACACAGTCCAGCTGGCTTCTGTCAGCGAGGGAGGTTCCAGAAGTCTCATCTTCACTCACAGTCTGCTCCTTTGAAAAGATGCCTCATTCCCCCCACCCTGGAAAACATGTTGGGACAGCTGCCCTCCTCATTCCTGAACCTACCCTGGGCAGGATGGACACTCAGGTGTGCTGAGGCAGGCTTGTAGTGGGCCTCCGCCTGGAGAGGATGGCTTTCCTCAGGACTTGAGGCCCCAGCCCTAGCCTCTGGTCTCTCTTTCCCATTTGGTTCCCCTGGGCCATCTTGGGTGGCATGTGGCCCACTACTCCAACTCTGAACTTCTGTTCCCAGGATGACTGGCCATTTGGAGCTGGGTAACAAGGAAACCTCTGCACTGGGAGTAGTAGGTTCCAGGCTTCTGGTATTGGATGGACGGTGAAGAAGATAAAACCCTCCAAAGCCCTACCCTAGAGCCATTCTGGAAATGCTGTTGGCATACAAAGGTAAGACCCTTCTCCACAATGTATTTTAGGCATCTAACAGATTAGCTGGGCTAGTCTTCACATCATTCACCTTTGCAGATGAGGTCACTAAAGTGCAGAACAGCCAGTAAATATCAAAGTGAATGTATAAAATCACTCTTTCTATTACCTCAAGCTGCCTCTGTAAAGAACACAAATCAAGTTTTCTGAAAGTCTCAATGTTCGAGGATGTACCCTTTCCTCACTGGTTCATCAAGGAACAGATTTCAATACAGAGCAGACCCCACACTCTGGCATGTAGCACAGACATCAGGAGCTGTGAGTTCAGGTTCCAGCTCTACATCCTGGCTGTGTGTCATTGTGCCAATTTCATAACATCTCTGAGCCTCTGTTGCCTTCTCTAAAAGCGGTGATAATTCTTAGCACCTCAAGGTTATGATGAGAATTAAGGACTATAGGAAATACAAATTGCTTAGCCAGCACAGTGTGAATGCCACTTAATGTTAGTGAGGATGGTAAGGATTGTGAAATTTGAGTCTCAGGGTCATAAGGAACTATCAGCTCAGGTCTTAGGGCTTGATGGTCACCTGGGGGAGCCCAGTGCAGGTAGACTATGGGAGATGGGGTTGAGAGATGTTGACACCTTTAAGTGTGATAACCTGTGACTGCAGGAGGAATGCAGGACACCTCATCCACCTCACAAGAAGTGGCGGGGACACAATTGAGAAGAAACACAATACAAGCATTTTCAAATTGGTGAAGCCCAAATTCAAGGTGTCATCACCCTCCCTAACAACCATGCGTGGCTCCCATACGCCGAGAGAGGATTCCAAAATGTTGGGGGAGGGATGTTACAGGGGATGCCACAGGCAGGGGTTGTGGGGAGAGATGATCTAGCTGAATGTTAGAGCACTTTCATCCCTCTCTGTGTATATACTGGGATTCTGTGCAAGATTTTGTTTCCTTTTGAACAATGGGTTTCTCTGCTAAGGATTAAAAACAAAAGCCATAATTGTGTGCTGTCCAATACAATAGCTCTCTGTGGGTACTGACCACTTGAAATGTAACTAGTCTGAATTGAAAAGTGCTTTAGCTATAAAATACACACTGCATTTCATAGATTCAGTACAATGTAAAATATATTAATAATTATTTTACACTGATTATATGTTGAAATTATATTCTGGCTATCATTTAAGTGCTAGTAACTGGGTTAAATAAAATGTTATTAAATTTAATTTCACCTGCATTGTTTCACTTTTCAAAAATTTATTTCTATTTCTATTGGGTAATGCTGCCCTAACCAGAGGTGCCTTGGTGGCATGGTGGTTAAAGCACTAGCTGCTAACTAAAAGGTTGATGGTTTGAACCTGCCAGCTGCTTTGTGGGAGAAAGATGTGGAAGTCTGCTCCCCTAAAAATATACAGCCTGGGAAACCCTATGGGACAGTTCTATCCTGTTCTGTAAGGTTGCTATGAGTCATACAAGGGTATGGCAATGGGTTTTATGGGCCCTAACCAGACAATAGGAGCTCTGGTGGCACAGTGCCTAAGGTATTTGACTGCTAACCAGAAGGCTGGTGGTTCAAATCCATCAGCCACTCCTTGGAAGGAAGACTGGGCAAACTACTTCCATAAATATACCACCTCAGAAACCAAAGAGGAGTTGCTATGAATCAGGAACGACTCTATGTCAGTGAGTTTGGTTTTTTTTTTTTTTTAACCAGACAATGGCTACCATGTATAGACTGCTGCTTCTCTGCAAGCTAGGTCCTTTATGTTCAGTGTTTCCTGTAATCCTTGATGCAACCTGATGAAGCAGGTAATATTTTTGTGTCCCTTTTACAGAGGAAGAATTGAGGATCAGAGAGCGTAAATGCCTAGCTCAAAATCATCCAGCTCATGAACTGCCTACTTAAAACTGAAACTACAGATGCCCTGGTCAACCAGTTCCTAGGTTGCTAAATATGCTAATTTATACCATCCGTTCAAATAAAATACAGGTTTTGGTGGCACAGTGGTTGCTAAGCACTGTCAACAGTTCAAACCCACCAGCTGCTCCACAGAAGAAAGATGAGGCAATCTGTTTCCATAAAGATTTATAGCCTTGAAAATCCTATGGGGCATTGAGTCAGAATAGACTCAATGGCAGTGGGTTATTTTGTTTTTCTTCCAAATCAGGCTCATGTCCCTTTCCTGCCCCCTCTAGCAAATACTACCCCTGTTCCCTCTACCCAGCTGTCATTCTTTTCCCTCTTCCATAAGGCCTTCCAGACTCCCTGATCCATTCCCTCTCCTTTCTCTAAGGCCCCCAAACCCCAGTGTCACACAGTAGAGCAGAGGCAGGCCTGAATCTGTACCCTGGTCTGGCTATTTCCTTGCCCTGGGGGCTGCACCTACCCAGAGCTAAAATAGGCGTTCCTTTCCTCCCTGGTGTCCCGGCAGTTCGCAGCATCCCTCACCCCCTGCCATTATGTCTTCCACTCTTGGGCAGGTGGTATGGTACGTAGGGAGCAGCTGCTTCATGGTCTCCTTCTCCTCTCTGTACCTTTTGGCCTGGCTGGGTGCACCACTCTCCATCTATCAGGAGTGAGATTTGACATCCCATTTGGGAGCTCAGGCTGTTGCTATTTCTGCTTGACAGAATAGAGTCCACTCAAATTGTTTGCTCTTGTTCAGTGGTCTCAAGTCAATTCTGACTCATAGTGACCCTATGTACAACAGAAGATACACTGCCAGGTCCTGCACCATCCTTACAGTTACTGCTATGTTTGAGCCCATTGTTGCAGCGACTGTGTTAATCCATCTTATTAAAGGTCTTCCTCTTTTTCGATGACCCTCTACCAAGCACGATGTCCTTTTGCAGGGACTGGTCCCTCCTGATGACGTGTCCAAAGTACTTACTCGTTCTTCTGGCTGTCCGCGGTGTAGTCAATATTCTGTGCCCAAGTCATCAATCCTTCTTCCATCTTCCTTATTCATTGTCCAGCTTTCACATGCATATGAGGTGACAGAAAACACCATGGTATTGGTGGTATACTGGTGAGCATAGCTGCTTTTCAAGCAGTTGACCAGGTTGTTTCCTGACCAAAGCAGTGGGCTATTGAAATTAGAAGATGATATTTCATCTGTAATTGGCAAATTCAAAAGGCCCTTATCGCACACAACAGCCTCCATAATGTGTAATTACATAAGGTGGTTCCTGACTCATTTCAGGTTGAGCCCGGTTCTCCGCGAGCGCCATTGCCCCCACCCGGCCCGCGGGCCAACGTGGCCAATCTGCGCGCAGAGCCCTTTCGGCCGACAGTGAGCCGGATCCCGGCCTCAGCGCCGACACCTGCACCCTCCCGGGCCCCAGGTGTTCTGGGGGGCGGCTGGCCCAGCCCCGGCGCCAGCGATAAGATCCTGGCTGCGAACGGAGGAGGCCTGGCCGGGAGGTGCAGCCAGAGCCAGGCTGGGCGGTTCCCAGGCTGTGGGCTCCTCACTCTCCCGGCCCGGGTGGAGAGAGCCCGGGAAAGAAGGGGAGGAAACGGAGGGGAAGCTCAGGCCGACATTCCTCGTTTTTCCCTGGGCTGGCGGCCAGCAGTCCCCGGACCCCACCCCCACCCGGGGAGAGGGAGTTGGAGGCAAGCCGGTCTCTGGCGCGCGCACTTGGCTTCTTCCCTCTGGGCAGGAATGAGTTAATGTCTGGCTGGCCTGGGAACCGAGCTGAGGCTACCCTCATGTCCCGCCCCATTAGGGCCCCAGCCGGGGAGGAGTTAATGTACTGAGGCAAGGTGCGCAGGCAAGGACAGGTCTCGCGTGCCCCAGAGAGGTGCCGCCCCCTGGTGGGCCATCAGAGGAGAATCGGTGGCCGGACTGGGACGCTGAAGGCTCGGGGCCTGCCCTGGCCCGAAAGGTGCCAAACAGGGCTGGCCAGGAAGGGGAGCTCAGACTGCGCCAGAAAGGGAATGTTCTCCTTGTGCCTCCCCCCACCCCGCCGCCGCTTTTCTTCCAAGCGGTTCTCCACCTCTGTCCTGTATTCCCCGCCTCAGCAGGACGCCATGTCCGCTGGATTGCAAACCGAAAACCAGAGCTCCTTTTTCGCCACTGCTTCCCTCTCCAAAATGCTACCCAATTCTGTAAAACTCAGAAATTTCTGTCCAATACCTCCTTGCTTCTGGAGGGGGAGAGAAGAGTACTTAGCGTGTGCCAGGAACTGTGCTAGATGCTTCATTTAATCCTGTGAATACCAGGTGTACATAGTGACATCCTCATTTTTCAAATGAGGAAATTGAGAGCCAAAGAAATGAAGTACATTGCCTTACATGGCACTGGAGTCTATTTAATGCTAAAGCTGCTTCTAGCACCCACAGCACTGCCATCAAAATGGGTTTTGTAAGCACAAGGCTGATGGGACTTGTCAACTCAATGCATAAAAGTCCAAGCTCCCACAAGCCAGGCCCCTCCTGACCCAGTCCCTGTCTCATTTCCAGTATCTCTCATTGTTCCTTAACAGGACGTGCACTCGAGTCTAGACATTGCATGTGCAGTTGCTTTTCCCCCATGGTTACTTTGCAACTTCTACTCTCTTGCATGATGACATAGGGAAGCCTTCTGTATCTCATTCCCTACTTACGTAGAATTAACTACCTCATTTTTTTTCCCTGAACAGGTCATCAACTCCCTCACTTTATCAGTTTTACCACATGTAAAAATGGTATATATGTTGTTGTTGTTGTTGTTGTTATGTGCCGTCGAGTCGGCCCCGACTCATAGCGACCCCTCCTTGGGTTTCCGAGGCAGTATCACTACGGAAGTAGGATTGCCCAACCTTCCTTCCGAGGAGCGGCTGGTGGGTTTGAACCGCCAACCGTCTGTTAGGTACTATATATACACACACATACACATACACACAAATAGGAGCTTTGGTAGCATAGTGTCTAAGGCATTTGACTGCTAACCAGAAGGCTGGCAGTTCAAACCCACCAACCATTCCTGGAGGGAAGACTGGGCAATCTACTTCCATAGAGATACTGCCTTGGAAACCCAAGGAGAGGAGAGGTTGCTATGAATTGGAACCAACTGGATGGCAATAGGTTTTGTTTGGTTATATATATATATATATATATATATATATATACACACATATATATATATATGTTGCTGGATTCCCAGTGGACAAATCCAGCCCAGCCTGCTCTCCTGGAGATCAGAGTCAGAGACCAGTGGGAAGGAAGGGATGGTGGTATCAGCAGTCAGGGCCTGGATACTGGGAGCCCTTCTGTGGGCATGTGCTATAGACCAAAGCACACACAATGATCCCTCAGCCTGAGCTTGACCTGGCTACCTGTGAACATACCTGCTAAACAGCCCTTCATTTCCTTGAGCAGCAGTAGCCAGGGGCAGGTGAGGTGCAGGCTAGCCTGAGAACTGCCCTCTAGCTCTGGGGATCAGGCCTAACTTTGCATAGGAAAGATGGAGGACTTAAAGCTGAGCCCCTGTCCCATGGAGGTAGCCTGGGCAGTGAGAGTGGGCACCAGAGTGATGGAATAAAAACCTAGTGAGTCTGACTGGTGACCCCATGATGACTGCTTGGCTGCTACATCACATATCTCCATGCCTCCAGCTGAGGAAACTGAAGACCAGACGGGCTTGTAGCCTGCCCAGGATGAGGTAATGCTATAGATCTGTTCAAAACCTGTGAGATTTTCATTATAGACAATGATGCTTAATGTTCACCATGCATTCTATTAAATTGAACGTTGTAAGAAGACCACATTATATATATACAGGAGAGAAGCACAAAGATGGTTACTGGTCACCAGTGAGGCCAGGAACCACGCAGCCACCTCTGTGGGAGGGACTGAGTGAAAACTTTCACTCTGCTGCTGTTGTTCCTGCATGGTTGCCACCCAGTCTCTGAGAGCCATGCATGACCCCTACCTGCCCATCTCAGTGTAGACTTGCTATCCAGGCAGCTAACTTTTCTGCTTCTCCTCCCACAAAGCCACAGCCTGGATCACTTGGGGGCTGCCATTCTAGGAGGAGATGTGGCCTTGCTAGGGCCATATCATGCATACAGGATGCCTGGGCTGAGTGGGACATGGACTCAGCGGGGCATCTCCTTTGGACGGTTCTGGTAATATCTGTGCATTCCTTGCGTGAGGCAAGCATGGTGGGACAGGAAGCCTCAGATGGGCACTAGTACCCCTTCCCCTTGTTGGCAAGCTAATGAAAGGCAAAGTTGATTTTCAGATCACAGTACTTAGCAAAGTATGTGCCCTACATCTTCTTCTCTGATCAGGGTTTCTGAACTCTATTATACCCTTATGTATATGTTGCCAGACTTTGCCCTAACAGATGTTAAATGACACATACCTGTATAGCTGTCTGTCTTGAAACAGAGCCTAGACCCACATGGAGAAATAAGCTTCTCCCCACTCCTCCCTAGCCTTGAACCTGTAAATCCCAAGCTATGAAGACCCTCTTCCTTAGGACTAGGATGTTACATCCCTAATTGGCTCTCCACCTATCGCCCCTAAGGCCAGATGTGGGGTCTACAGGATTCTGGCCCACAATTTGGGGAAGGATGGCTGAGCCTCACTAGTAGGCCCTTGCTGACCACCATACCTCTGGGGATATGGCCTTGGAGCTGACATCTTGTTCTTTCAACTCCTGGAGCCCATGCCCAGCCTAAACTGTCCCCTGTCATTTTGGTCTCTCACCTGGCTGGTAGACAGAAGGCCGGATGCTGGCTGTGGTCACAACCCGGGGCTTGGACACAGAGGCAGCTGGGGCCTCACTGTAGCTGGTGTGGGCAGCAGGTGCTGGAGAGGTGGCTACTGCAGGGCTGTAGGCAGAGGTCTGTGGCCTGGAACCAAAGGGAAGAGTTAGAAGCCAGAAAGACAGCCCAATTCTGGCCCTGTGCTAGCATCTATGGCTGGCTGGCTGGCTCCCCCATATTGAGAAGCATCTGTGAGAACTGCCAGAGGAAGGGCCCTGGGGGCCTGAGGGGACAGGAAGCTACTCCTTGGGTGGCTATAAATATGGGTTAAAGCAGCAGAGACCCCTCTAGAAATTCAGCCTGTGGTAGTGCCACCACCTTGTTGTTGTTGTTGTTATATGCCGTCGAGTCGGCCCCAACTCATAGCGACCCCTCCTTGGGTTTCCGAGGCAGTATCACTACGGAAGTAGGATTGCCCAACCTTTCTTCCGAGGAGTGGCTGGTGGGTTTGAACCGCCAGCCTTCTGGTTAGCAGTCAAGTGCCTTAGCCACTATGCTACCAGAGCCACCACCTTAGGTGAGAGAGAAAAAGCTTTAGCCAGACAGGGCGGGACAAAGAAAACCCTTCCTCCACCTCCCGCCCTGGGAAAGAATGCCACTATCGGATGGAGAGGGAAGTACAGAGGCAGAAGAGAAGTCAGAGCTATACTGACTGCTTCCTTACCTTGCCAACACCTCACAGCCTGGGACTACCTGGTCTTCCCCTTCTATTTTCTCTGGTGAAGGCAGTGGGCAGCAAAGTCTCAGGTTTCTGGGCAGGAGTGCTCTAGGGAGGGCTCATGAGAAGCCAAGCTCTACCCCCCACACACCCATTCCCCTCTCCACAAACACACTTCTCTTCCACATAGAATCCCTGTTGCCCTCCTCCCATTGGGGTAGCTGGGAAGAGGCCTAGAGCAACCTTTTCCAGGCTTGAACCACAGGACTAAAGAGATGGGGAAGAAAAGTGTTGCCAGTTCATTGGCCTCAAGAAATATTGTTTTTGGTCTCTCCTCTTGGGGAGTTGTAAGAATTCCTGGACTTTAGCAGCTTATTTAACCTTGTCTGGTCCAATTTAATTTTCCTGTGAAACTCTTCATTTAAAAACTGATGACCACCTTATAGGACACAGCTCTGGTTTCTAAATCCCCTGCATCTTTTGGGTTCCGTTGGGGACTACATGACTATACCCAGGACAAACAGGTCATTTCAGGGAGTGCTAGAGAAGTGAGCTCCTAGAAATATACTACCATGCTTTACCAGCCCATGGCTGCCTGCTTGTCTTTCACCTGTTGCTCATGGCCCCAGGACCTGCCCATCCTAAGCCCTACTGGGTAGAGGCGTAGGATGAGGGAGTGTATTCCTCTCTGGGACTCTGGGAGGGTGGTGACCCTGATCTAAGAATCTGCTACCAAGCTTTTGAAGAGAATCAGAGGGGGCCTGTGTGCTGCCCATAGACCAACATTCCAGATCTCAGTAGGTACAAACAGCTCTCCCATTGTCTCCTCTCCCTGAGCTCACCACCAAGGCACCCTCCCTACTCTGTGAGAACCCCTGAGCTAAACTGAAAGGAGTAGGGGCTTCCATGGAAGATGAAGAAACAGTATCCAAGGGGACCTGGGGTCCCTGGCTCCCACTGTGGTGGGAGAAGACCAAGAGTAGATGAGTTTCATCCAGACCCTCAACCAGTGGAGGATGCTTCGTAGCATCCTAGCATCTCAGGAGTTACAGCACAGTGTTGGGGACTGGTGTTGGAGCAGGAGTGGAGGTTGAAGACATCCAGTGAGAATTCTGAGGCCATGTTCCAAAGAAAGGCTGGGTCTCAAGTGGCCTCACCCTAGCCTTTTTGGCTCAGTCTCAGCCCATGTGCAAAGAGTAGAGGTGGTTGGCCCCAGAATGTGATCCCTAGACCCTTTGCTCCAGCTCATTGGACCACTGGGCAGCCCTCCAAGTCCATCCCAGGCCCAGCTCCCTTTGCCAATGTCCTGAGAGCTTTAGCAGCTCTGTGATAGGCCCCAAGTCACTGAAGCACAGAGCCCAGAGATGAAGCTAGACTTCCATGCACCTCCAGCATCTAGAGCCTCCTCATCCAAACTGGGGGGACATCTTCCTCCCAATTCGACCACAGAGACACTCCAAGGCCCTAGATAACCTGAGAGAGATCTTTAGATCCATTTCTTACCCACCTCAGAGTTTCTTCTTTGTGCAGGTAGCAAGGCCCTTATGTGAACTTCTGGTGTGGAGAGGGGAAGCAGCTGCCTAAGTGCTCCCAGGAAGCTGGATTAAACAACCCCAGAAGCCCAGGGCTAGGCTCACCCTTGAGGCTGCAGTGTGGCTAGGAAAATGCTGGGCTTGGCATCAAGTGGGCCACTGTGAAGCCCAGGGTGAGGGGCAGCAGCCAGGCCAGCTGGCCAGTGTGCCTACCTTTAGTCCCACCTCAGGCTTCACCACAGACCTGCACACCCTGACGTAGAGACCAGAATCCTCCTCAGCTAAATCCCTTAGAGGAAGGCGGGATCTGACCCTAAATACCTAAATGACAGCTCCATAATGCCTAGAAGGATTGCTGGGCCCTCCTGGCCTGTTAAACTACCTAGCAGCTCTGGAATGACCTGTCCAGACTGTGCCTTTCTTCCTCCACATATCCATGTACCTCCCTCCCCTCCCCTTTCTCCTCTTCCCTTTGGGTCTCTGCCTGGCTGGGAATAACTTGAAATACTGGTGACCATTTAATAAGGGACATGTCTATGTGCTGCATGTTTTATGTACAGCTGGCCCTCCATTTCCACAGGTTCTGCATCCATGGATTCAACCAACCATGGATTGAAAATATTTGGAAAAAAGAAAAGGGTCCTAAAAAGCAATTAAGTGGTCAAAGCAATATCTCAAAGGCTGAGGAAGAGTATAAAGTGCTATTTACATGGCATTTACATTGTACTAGGTATTATAAGTAATCTATAGATGATTTAAAGTATATGGGAGGATGTGTGTAGGTTATATGCAAATGCTATGCTATTTTATATAAAGGCCTTGAGCATCTATGGGTACCTGGAGTGAATCTTTGTAACCAATCTCCTACAGATACCAAGGAACAACTATACATTTGTTTCTGTAACAAACCTGTAAGACTGGTGTTGTGTTAAACATCTTAACAAATGAGGAAACTGAAGCTCAGAAAGGTTAAGCCACTTTCTCAAGGTTATAGCTAGTAAGTGGTAGAGCAAAGATTTATATTCCACTATACCAGGTGCCTCTTGAACCAACATGTTAAAGGCTTGTTGGAGAAGAGAGGGTAGGAGAGGAGGGCAAGTTAATGGCTAAACTCTATCTGACCAAATCTGACCTGCTTTTCATGCCCAACCCAACACCCTCTCCTTCATGTAGCCTCCCTTGACTTCTGCAATTCACAGGGATGACTTTCATTCTCCCAAATACAAGTTCCAGGAACAATGACTTCCTATACAAAGCATTAAGCATTAAAAACACTATATCCTGCTATCTACTTTTTATGTGTGTGACTGTTTTCTCTTGAGGGCAGAAGACACACATCTGTCCTCAGCCACAGATGGTAGACTCCACTGAAATACTCCTCAGGTTCCCCTCACTCTCAGCATCTCACAGTGCTGGGCTTGGCCTCCTTCCTCATGGCCTCAGTGCTGAAACCACTGAGCACAGCTGCTGATGGGTGGACTCAGGACTGGGCCTTTCTTGCCTCCCTTCTTCATGGTTAGGGCCTGCAGCTGTGGGCTGGTTACCTTGGACTGTCCACAGGGCTGGAGACAGAGGCTGCAGTGGAGGCAGTGGCAACAATGACAGCGGCTGCAGCCAGGGGAGACAAGGCAGCAGCAGGCAGCTGGGCAGAAGCGGGCAGCAGCAGTGTGGTGGCATGGCTGGTGCATACTGGAGCATGCTCAGTAGGGGTGCTGATGAGATGGACCAAAAAGAGAACAGGTCAAGGGAGCACTGGCAGCCTGTAGCAGAGGCAAGATGGATGGAAGGACCATGGGTACTGAAAACAGAACAGGAGCTTCCGGAGGGCATGTCCTCCTGGGAAGAAGGACCCTTCCCAGGAGAGTGGGACCCTGACCGGTTAAGGGAAGGAACCCCTCCAGGACCTAGAAGGGCAGGCCTGAGATCAGAGTAAGGGGCAGGGCTCTTGAGAGGTATCACATACAGAGAAATATTCTCAATCCTGGTGGGATTCTTTGCTCTCCAATTTTCTGTATTTCCTATTTTTTCATTCATCAGCATGTGTTATGAAAGTCCTACCTAAAAAACCAAACTCGCTGCCAAGGAGTCAATTCTGACTCACAGTGACCCCCAAAGGGTTTCCAAGACTATAAATCTTTATAAAAGTAGATTGCCTCATCTTCCTCTTATGGAACAGCTGGTGGGTTTGAACCACTGATCTGGTTAGCAGCCAAGTGCCTTACCTATTATACCACTAGAGTGAATGATCAACTCTGGATCTCCCTTAACTCTGCTTTCCTTTCCCGTTTGACCTTCTCCACTTAGTTAGGGACCTACCGTGGCTTTGGGAAGAGATGAGACAGCAAGCAAGGCAAAGTCAAATACTTAAGCATTAAGGACTTAGGGTCTGGGAGGTAAGAACTTGAGCTTTAGGCTTCAAAGGATTCAGCAATGACAACACATTTGGAGGATGGATGAAGGCTACTCCACTTCAGACAATGAAGGTTATCTGGACCAGGAATGTACAATGTGGTATGTGTGGTTCCAGAATAAAGACATTTGTGCCTCTCTTCTGTGTAGTCCCTGTGGAAGTGGCAGAACTTGAGTGTTCTCCATGACCATGGAGCAGGCAGACCTGAGGCACACCCCATGCCACTGTGTGCCTGGGAGCTGCAGAGGGTTTCTTGGACATGGCCCTGACTGCCTGCAAATCTGAAAGACCTATAATTGGAAACAAGAGTGGTGACCGTTCTGTCAGTGTGGACTAGTGTGACCAGATGGGATGAGGATATCCTAGCAGACTTTTGTGCAGGTAGACCATGATCAAGGACCAAGGCCCCCACACCCCCATCCTGAATGCCTTTGCATTCTATAATTTCCTCTTCCCAAAGTGCTGCATGGAAGAGAGGAGTAGTCAG